AGTGGGGCTGGTGCTGAGGGAGTTCTGAGAGACCGCAGGGCTTTTGGCATAGCCCTGGATTTTTCAGGGGATTTTTAGGACTAACTCTCTTCGGTCCTTTTGGAGTATCAGTTGCAGATGATTGTCAAGAAAATGGGCATGCCATTTTACCCAAAACCAAAAGTGCACAAATCACAGTACCCAGAAAGAAAATAATTGCATTTTTTTTTTTTTTTTTTGAGCCTTGTTTGTTTGCAAATTGCAAGTTGCAAGGCTTGCAAGGCGTGCGTGATTAATAATAATGCTTGTGTCTGGAAACCGCTCATCTTTCTTATTAATTAGTCTTCTTGGTAACAGGGTTTCATTGACTTGTTGAGAAGCTGGGGACAAAAGTCCACTCTAGCTTAATTAGGGTTTTTGTTTGGATTTGGGGTCCGAGTTAATGTTTTCAAGCGTTGCAAAAATGACACGAGATTACCGTCATAATTAATAAGCCTCGTAAGTTAACGTCTACAGTCATTACTGTTGATGACTAATACCCACATGATTCTTCTTTGTTCACTTCGAGAGACTAAACGAAAAAAGCAGCACAACAAATCTAGGGCAAAAAAGATTGGATACTACTTGTCCTTGTTGGTAAGGAGATATATATTTCTCCTTCTTAGAGCATGTCCACCCCAAAAGGCTAAGGCAAAAGTAAAAGTAAGGCAAAGATAAGGCAATGGATGTTACTATTCACGTGAATAGTGGCAGCCTTACTTTTTTTGGTTCCACCCCAAAACGCTAGGGCAAGGGCAAGAAAAAAAAAGAATATGCAACAAAATATAAACTTGTTATGTATTTTTATAGGGAAAGTGAATAAAATTATTATGTATTTATAGGGAAAACATGCATAATTTTTTGGTTTTTTTTTTCAATTTTTTTGAATTTTTTTTTGCTCGCTGACGTCAGCGCCTTCGGGCTAAAGCCCAGGCAAGATCAGTCTTTGGGCTTACCCGGGTTGGTGGGACCCAGGCCTTGCCCGGGCTGTTGGCTGCGCGTTGGAGGTCCAAACCCTTCAAAAGGAGCCTCCTACCCTGACAAAAGGCCCTGTGCTAGAGATGCTCTTACAAATCTTAGTTTAACACATATACAAAATAATTCATCAAAAATATAAGAAGAAAAACTTCTGCATATATCATATATCACACTACTAGTACAAGCAAGAGGGAAGTATTTTCCAAAACAATTAGGGTGACAAGGATAATACAAGAAGGTTGTGGAACTTGATCATAATGATGCAAAAGAATTTCACTTTTTGGTTCTCAAAGCTTCTTTTATTAGCTTAATAGCATGCCCCAAGTTCAAAAACAATAAAATAAATTTCTACCACACGATAATCTAATTTACTCTGAATTAATTTAATTTTCCTAATCAATTACCCTAATTCGCATCTGTCAAAATTTTCTACCACTCTAGATAGTCTAGCTTGCTATTATGCTATATATAATAGGAGACATGGAGGGAGAAAAAGAAAAAAGAAAAAAGCTAATGAGTAGTTGAAAAAGATTTTATTATTAGATTCAAGGAACTTGGAGTAGTGATGATACAAGTTTATGGCGTAGAGTTAGAGTTATAAGTGCCAAAATTAAGGCAAGCGTGAATTTGGGTTGGTGATTGTTGTGTTGGTGATTGTTGTACCACCGACCACCGGACCAACGCATTTGATTGGAGATGATGATCATTAACGATGTGCCATGCACAACTTGCTTACAAACTCATGGAAATTTTGCATCATGCCAATGAAAAGTTTGAATTTTATTTATTTATTTTTTAACTTTTATACAAGATGATGTTGGGTCGGGGAAGAAATCGAACACAGAATCTCGAGTGTAGAGACACTTGACTCTACCTAAACTAATAATCTCTCAAAGATAGATATAATTGCAGTGACCATAAAGCATTTCCCGTGACCTAAATTATCAATCAAAATTGAGAAGAAGAAAGAAGAAGAAAATGGCGGGCGTGTAAAGAAGACGCTGTGCAAAAGAGAGTGGGAAGAAGAGGAGGAAGAAGAAGGAAGGAAGGTGTGGGGCCAGAGAAAGACAGGGGAGTGCTTTTTGACTAGAATGGCATGCTCATGTCTAATCAGCGATGTCTCGATGGAATATAACTGAAAGATCTTTTAGCAAAGTACAAACCATCAACTTCCCTTTCTCTCTCTTCTCACTCTCTCTCTCTCTCTCTTTTCTCTGTCTGTCTGTGTGTCTCAAAAATTGGAAAATTTTGAAAAATTGGAAACTGAAAATATAGGGTGGTAGGGAGAGGGTAGGGATAGGCTGCTACTACTATTTATTGCTAGACTAGGGTTCCTGCCACACTCAGTCTGTAACTATCATAACCATATATCCCAACATACATCACTGCCCTTCTGCTCTCCCCTGCCCTGCCCCTTCTCTCTGCCCTTCACATTTCACAAAATATTAATTCATCCTTCTGTCACACCTTATAAATATATATATATAGCCCTCTCATGGGACCCACCCACTCCTCTCCTTCTGTGTTTCTCTTTCTTTAGTTTTACAAGATCACTATCATCCATCCATTCATTCATTGTCCAACAAGTTTGAATTATTTAAAGTCTTTTTTTCTTCTGTACTATATTGACTTGTAAATCAATAGTTAGATTTGAATCTTTATGATACTTCGATAGTGTGTATGGGAAATCCTCGTCTTTCTCATAATTTAAACTACTGCTTGTATTCAACAATTTTTTTTCTTTTCATTATATATTTTTTGAATAAGGAACAAATATGAAAAGATTTCAGACTGAAGAATTGGGAGTGTGGGTTTCCAGAGACCATGCTAGGGTGGCCATAGAATCCCTCTCAGTCATGTTCTCACTATTTGTGGCCCAAATTTATTTGGGATTGTAAGAACAAAAATAGGTTGGACAAAGAAATAGTAAAACCCATTGGGCCTAATACAATTACTTTGGACTGAGCTCAGGTTGTCATTATTTCGCGTAACTTGTCACACATTCATACATCAGAAGTGTTCCTCAAGTCTTTTGCTACCTGAGGAAAATCCACTGAGGCCTATTTGCATTTCCGAACAGTTTTACTTGCATTTCCGTGAATGCACTGTCTTGTGATTAACCAACCACCACACTATAGAAACATTTTAGTATTTCAATATCTGCATTGAAAGAGAATCAATGGCTGAAATCGGAACAAGAACCGGCAATGAGCATGCAAGCCGCAGCTTTACTAGTCATCATCGCCGAGATCTCCCCATCTGACATTGTGCTTTGCAGCAAGATAATGTGGTCCTACGGGCCCTCTACTACCGTAGGGGTAGAGCTCAGGAACAATCTTCTTCTCATCAAGCTGCTTCAACAATGGTGTGAATAGAGCCCAAGCAGCATCAAGCTCATCACTTCTAATGAACAACCTCCGTTCCCCTTCAATTGCATCTAAGAGTAGCCTCTCATATGCATCTGGTATTTCTGCTGGATACCTTCAAAACAGAATCATATTTGTTAAGACGCCTTCACTATGTAAGTGCACAAATGTTGTTGCATTATTATGCATAAAAGTTTTGGTTTAGGACATGTATTTTACAACTCCAAGCTTTTTGTCATCAATTGGTGGTGCTGCCTTCTTATCAAAGAATAGAACTAGAATGGATTTTAATGTTGAAAAGAAAAATTAAGACCGTACAACTATAGATAATATACTTTTTGATCTTCAAAGTGGTCATAATTAAAACATGAGTCTTTCCATGTTGTAAAAATATATTTCAAAATATTTTAGACCATTTTCAGTCAACCTAATTGTCTACATGATTATCGTACCTTGATCGGTAAAGCAAATTTAAGTCACTTCGATCTAGTCTCATTCCAAGACCAGGGACTTTGTTGTTGATCTTCAGATATATAGCTTCATCAGGTTGTACACGAAGCACAAGCTCATTTGTAGCCTTATCTAAATCAGTTCCAAAGTTCCTCTTGTACAAATTACCTGGGACATGTCTGAATTGGACTCTGATCTCTGCTCTGGGTAATTATAGTGAAAAAAATTCAGGTCACTCAATTATTTACATCTCACAATATGAGGGAATATTAAAAGAAGTGATCCTTCAGAAGATGAAACATTTCTACATACCGCTTAGTATGGAGTGCTTTTCCTGCTTTCATCAAGAAAGGAACCCCATC